TTCGATATTCATCAGAAACTAGTGGAGTAATTTCACAAAAAATGATTGAATATCAGTTCAATAAAATTTTTATTAGATGTTATCAAATGTTATGTTAGACGTAGGGTGGGGTTTCATTCCTATGTTGTGGATATTTGAAGGATTCCCCTGCCTGCAAACATGTTCCCTGAACGATTATCATGCTGGACTGCCATGCAGAGGTCCCTTTAGAGAGAGGCCTACATTTATTTCTCTCGTGAGTTTGGGTGTAATTTGTGGTTGTCTATGTGTGTCCATGGCACCCGCGGCACAGGGTTTCCTTAGTGCGGGGCTATGTTGAGTGTGTGCGTTATTATTATTATTATTATAAAATTCTAGAATAATTTGACGATTAATTTTTTTGAAATACACTTCAATTTGACATTCATTTTCCAATTAATTCATTGACTGTTCAGAAAATATTTGTTTAGATTTAATTATCATTATAATGATATTTTAATTAATGGTAATCAAAATGTATATTTAAAAAATTGACATTGCTACGCCCTTACAGGGTACATGTTTGATACTGTAAACTACTATAAGAACTATTATGTAACAACATGTTTTGCAATAAACGTTATTATTATTATTATTATTAATTGCAAAACAAACGGAATGACATTTCATTGGTAATTAAATATGTAATTTGTTAATTTTTTTCCATTATAGCAAAGCTCAAGTTAAACTGGTCGATTTGAAGTGAAACAATTGACGACACCCGTCAGTTGTTTCGAATTCAGGCTGGCCAATCGGAGTGCCGTTATCACCGCAATGATTTAGCAAAATAGTTTTCAAACAAATTAAATGACATTTCGTCTCTATTTCTGGTTATATACTCGATGGTGTAAGTACAGGATGCAATGTGCGAGTCGTCGTTCTGAATAAAGGAACATACCTATTCCACGAAACAAATAATTTCAATCTTGAATAAAATGAATCTATACTTCCAAACTACAAAGAAAAGTTAAATAGCACACGTACTTCAATAATCTTCTTAGCAAGAAAGAAGTGATGGTATTCCAACATCGAATTCTTGTACATGGAGGCAATCGCATGCTTGGACAGAGACAGGAAGTTGTTGTTATAACCTGGATGATCTAAATCGTGGCACAGTCCTGCTATCATTAAAGCTACCGTCTGTAAACAATCAATACAATTGTCAGCAGCGGATGTCCATGTCTGGAGATGGAACCTGAAAAGCAGCAATAGTGCTGAGGTTCCATCCTCTTCATTGGCACTAGAGTCCACATTTCCGAAACTAAACTGTTAACCTTTTTATTGTAAATGTGCTTATGAATAAATGTCTTATTATTATTATTGATAAGAGACAGATAATTCTGTAAATTAACCTCCTAAGACTGGCAAACTAGAATGAGTAAAGCGCTAAAGAACTAATGTAGAGTCAAGAGCACGTCAAGCTTGACACTTTGTGCTTTGGACCGTTCTTATCGTAAGTGGCATAGAGTTGGATTTAAATCTTAAGTGTCAAACTTGACGTGCTGTTGACCCTGTACCTTAGAATGTAATATATGCAATTACATGCTTCAGGCCCAAGCAAGTATCCCCCAGTTTAGTATGAAAGGAGTATTTTTCTACATACTCCATGGTCATATAGAACCCCCAATCGCTATCCCCCAGCTGGAAAACAGTGTTAGGTACTACGTCAGTGGTTAGTGTAGACGAGACTTTAGAAAGTGACGTTGTTAGTGTAGTGTGCAATCCTGCATATGACTTTAATAAAAATAAAGCAAACGAGGGCAGATTCTCGCCGACGCCGCCTGCGCTCGCTGCCGTACTGAGTGATCGGGCTGCCAGGGATTTGGCGCGCAGTTTCCGTCGAGTCACCGCCGCGGAATCTCATGATTAAGGACCACGAATTGGTTCGAAACATGTCGAGTAAAAATTCGACTTAAATACGTGAGTTATCCGTTATTTTTAGTTAATATGTCTGAGTCTCACGGTGGTTTTCTATTTAAAACTGCACTACATAGTTCGGAAAGTGCCCTTCGATTCGAGAACGATATCAATCGAACTATTCAAATATTCAATTAGAACGTAACAGTCTTGCATTAAAATTAATTAATAAAATTGAACAAAATCCAGACTTTATTTAAAATAACAAGAGATTTCCATAGTATATTCTTGCTTTGTAAACAATAGGACGTTGGGTAACTTTCATTCGCTGTGTTCTGAATAACGTTTGTAGCCTTTGCCGGTCGAGAAGTTCGACTACAGGAGTGACGTCATTTCGTTTCGATTTCGAATACGACAGTTTGACGTTCGATTCGGGTGTTGTGAATTAAAATTAAAAGAAATCTTACGAGATCACATCGAATCGGTCGACAACTGAGTTATCGTAGGGTTCTGAATCGAACCCCCGGGCGGGAATCGCCGCGGAGGACGCTTGCACGTTTGAACTTATTCTACCACATACAAATCTAAAATGTGTCAGATAGTGCAACAAAAACTTAAAAGTTTATTTTTGGTTTTATTACGTTCTGTAAAAAGTCATAGCACAATGGCTGTTGCTTATGATGTTAGTAATACAGTACATATTATATTTTACTTTCATGTGATAAAAGTACTTTTATCGTATGATCACATGTGGATTGCTTTACCAACGGTACGGTTACTTCTCGACAGTTAGTATGACGACTTCCGTGGTCGAGTGGCTTGCATACCGGTTTTCATTAGTGATGCAACGGAAATGTCATAACGGAAACAGATGTCAAAAGTAAGTCTTAGCGGATACGAAAACGGAAGCGGATGTGGAAGCAGAAGTACAAAAACTATAGAGATCTCAAGTAAATAGCAAAAAGGATTTGTTTTTGGTTTCATACTTTCACTTAAAACTGCTAAAACGTTTGCCCCACTGCCGAATGATCCGCGTGCGCACTTCATCCGTCGTGAACGTTGTAAACTAACTTCCGATTACAGTAATCCGTCGAAATAATAATAACAATATGGCGAGCGGCTAGGAAGTGGAACGCTATAACTTGGCGATTTTTTCAAGGCGAGAGTGATTAGGCTGTGACAATGTGACCTCCTTACATTGTCATCCCATCTTTTCATCGCCTTCTCTCCGGTTCCTGGCCACTCGTTTTTAACTTTAGAATTTTTCTTTAATTGCTTTGTCTCGCCATTCTCATTTTGTTTCGTTCCATCGCACTAGTGAAATGCGTGTACCGCTGCTGGTGAGTCCTGTTGGCACCGCTTTAGCATGTCCTATGGATTGCCATGTAGCTTCCGCAGTCTCCTCAACCTCCATACATCTTGCTTAGTAGGTAAGTTTAAAGTTCAAAATTCAAAAAGGTAAAGAAATAGTGGTAATAAATCCAGTTTTATAAATATTATTCCCGTTTTATTAATATTTGTGATCTTTAAAATGTTTATCGTAGAAGAGATTTTGGTAACTGGTAAACGGTTCAAAAAATTTACGAGAATACGAGTCACGATGGAACGAAAACAAAGTAAGTAATAAGTATAATATATAATAATATAAGTAAGTTTATATATATATATATATATATATATAAAATATATATAAACTTACCCCAACTACAATACTTGCCCCAATTAAATGACGTATGATACGAATGAAGCTTCATACTTGATTTTGTTTTTTGATTTTGTCGAGTGTTACTTATTTGACAGTAATTGTTTCGGACGGATGTCGAACAGAGAACGTGAGTAGAGCCCCAGAAACGGAAACAGATGTGAGAAAACGCACGGAACTTCCGCAGTTGCGGAAACACAAGCAGAGGTCTGTTGCATTACTAGTTTTCATGGTGTCGCCTGGCTTCAATCAATGTAGAAAAAGCTAACTTTTCTATGTTGTGTTTATTTCTTACATTTTTCTATCATTTATCTTTGTTATAAAATATGATGGAATGTGGACCTTTCCATCATATTTATCGAGGCAACCTTTATAACAGATATAAGTACAAGAATGTCACTGACCTCATGAAAATCAAAATATCCAGAGTTATTTGTCAATATTATGAACATGGTGTGCGTGAAACAGAATGCATGCTCTGCGTTATGATAAGGATTTGGTCTATAGCATCGGAGGATTGTCAGAGCGAAGTCAGCAAGCTGAGGCCTATCGAAGTTACGATCCGCGAAAGTCTCGATGTACATGTAACAGACTAGGCCCGCCATGTCTTCTTTGTTGCCTTCGCTGATGTGGTAGTCGAAGCTAGAGGGAGTTTTTGATCGATTAATAGAGGTAAGTATAGACTGGATAAAAACAACACTGAATACGTTGAGTACAGTGCTTTTTTTATCTCAATATCGCTCGGTAAACTTCGAGTTTCGGCTGTTGTCGGGTTTTATTCTGTTGCCCGTTGCCTTTGATATAGACCGGACGCTTTCACTCGACTTAGAAGTATACATTTAGAGTTGTTATTATATATTTTATTTATTATACAATGGGAGGAAAGCCGATAAAGTCACAGTCACGACAGATAATTTACAGCTTGTATTTGTATTCTTTACAAGAAGCCGATACGTTCAAGAAAGATAATGATTATTTTCAAAAAGTCCAAAATCGTGTTCCTGTAATTTGTGGTGTTTCAATCGGAACAGTAAAGAACGTTGTTCAAAATTAAAATTATTATAGATTTTAAATATAATAATTAATGGGCATGGAAACCAATATTCGTGTGCATTCGGAAATCCGGTGATTGCCGAGACACATTGAGAAAATAGAACCTATAGACTGAATTAAAACCGGCCATTCTTACATTCGACATTCTCAGCCTAATTACCCAATAACATTGAAATATGAACAACTTTAAGCTTAACTATCAATATGTCTAAATGACATTAGAATAAGACAGGAATATTTTATAGAAACAGTAATTAGATCTAATCACCGTATCCATAGCCATGGATAAATGGTTTGAACTTTGTAGCCACAAAGTTCAAAGATTTTTAAGCAAAACCGACTATTTCTGATACTGCTGAATTATTATTTGTATATTTTGCTAAATTTGGTATATTTCTACTGATACAAGCGCCATTCATGATTTTGAAAATAAATTTAAATTAGGTTTTTTAATATTTGGTTAGCATAATAATGACTAAAAATTACTCCAATTTTTTCTTATGATTAATCATAGCTGTTACAAGAACAGTGTAATAATTTACGGTTTGACTATTTCTGCTGATAAAAAAACCTTTAAAGTTTAAAACAAAAATTTTACATCGATGTAATTCATTACAAAAAGTGAAGAAAATTAAAATCCAAGTTATTTATACGTTGTTAGTTATAGTTTTTGTTTTTATGTTTTCTTATAAATAAGTAAATTAGATCTAATTGCCGTTTCCATAAAATATTTTTGTCTTAATAACTCGAAAATTACTATGTCTATTTCAACCATTTAGACATATTGACAGTTTAGCTTATAGTTATTCATATTTAAATGTTCTTGGGTACAATGAAAGATAAAACAATGGCTACGGTAATTAGGCTGAGAACACCGACTGTGAAAATGGCCGAATTATGAGAACGCTGTATACGTTAAGCAACTTCTTGTCTGTTGAGATAACGAGTTTTGAATAATAAATTCAACACATCAAAGATAGATAGTACCTAGGCTGCTAACAGATTGACTGAACGTGCAGTGAACCTATTAGCAGCTAACTACTGTTTAGACGGTGATAAAAAACGTCTTTGGTAAGAAAGTAATGAAAGGAGAACTTTGCACTATTTTTCTTATATGTAGGTATAATATATAGACGCTCGTAACAAACGTTTATAATGACCAATTTTTGCTTTAGAAGCGGCATTAGTGCGAACGTTTTTGGTTAAGAGGTCTTGTCAATTCATCTTCGTTATGTTATATTTTCTTTCTTGATTCGTATTAATACATAATTCTCATTTCAAAGGTTTTAGATACCTAGTCATTTGTACAGACTGTACCTTCTGAAATTAGGAGGTGCCAACACCAGCCCATTAGTTTCCATTAGCTCTTCGAAGTCGTGTTTGCAAGGCTTTAGGTGTAGTTGCATAAGTTCATGCCACACTTTGTTGAGTCCTTCCTAAAGGATAGCATCACAGAAATTTAAAATTAATACTTATATTTTCTATTTGATGAAATTTATAAATTTATAAGTGGAAGTGGAAAAAGTAGTCAATCATCACTGTGTGCTGTTACACATTTCGTTGACATGACACGTCATCGCCTTTTTGCAAGATGGCGACCTGATGCCAGAAAAAATATACAGATCTATATATCGGGTTTTTCAATAGGGACATAACAATTTTGTATTTCAATAAAACACAGAATAATTGAGATATCGAACTGAAATTTATTCCAGGTGTGCAGTACGCGTTACATTTAAGAATGGAATTCAATCTCGTTCATATGAACACCGCGAGCAAGTTTGCAGCATTCAATTCTTTGGAGACAATTTCCCACCACGCTTTCACACATATCGGCCGAAACGTTGGCAATTTCGCGTTTAATATTGTTTCTGATCGCTTTTAACGTTGTTGGCTTATTGGCATAAACCAACCACTTAACGTAACCCCATAAAAAGTAATGTAACGGCGTTAGATCGTATGAGGGAGGTGGCCATTCGACCGGACCATTTCGCGAGATTACACGATTCTTCCTCTTCAATAGATCGATTGTTTGACCAGATGTGTGACCGCTGGAAACGTACTCGCGGTGTTCATAAAAACGAGATCGAATTCCATTCTTACATGTAATATGTGTACTGCATATGGAATAAATTTTAATTATTCTGTGTTTTATAGAAATACAAAATTGTTGTGTCCTTATTGGAAAACCCTTTATTACTTCACGTCCTTTTCCCATCGTGGTATACACAGACAACAGCCTTCCATTTGCTACGATCCTGACACTTCTTGCACCTCATCAACACGCGTCAGTACTTTCATACGTGCTCCTCGGTTAGTACTCTGGACCAGGCCTTTCTTTAGGACGTCCTCAATTTGGTCATGGTAAGTGCGCCTTGGTTGAACCTTACCGACTTGCCCACTTCCTCTCGTCTTATAAATCTGTTTCCTCAATCTTCTTTCATTCATTCTCTCTACACGTTCTAACCATCCCTTCCTCTATCTTTGTCACTACATCTTCCACGCCGTATTATTTAAACTCTAATTTATAAAACGCACATAATGCTGTTTCTTGAGCTGCATATTGTAAAAGTGAACAATAAGCGAGCAGTAGCTGGTGAAGACTTCGAAAATCTTGACGTCATGTTCGTTGAATGACTGCGAATTTGTCTTGTTAGTGAGTGTCACCACGCCTGTAATTAATTTTTACTTCTAAAATAGGTTTGAGATACAGGAGTTTACTCTGGGGAGCAATCTCAGGACAACTGCTTTACACTGACGAACAAATCGTGTGCTTGGTGGTGAGTGTTACGCCTATCCATGATTATTGCAGTGTTAGTCAGAGCTTTAATCCCAAAGATCTGAGGAGCATTGCCACTGCTCCCGTCACTCAGCGACAAAAGTAGTTCCATGTGCCTGTAATTACTGCTTAGTGGCAGAAATTGGTAAGGTAGCAGAACTTCCCTGGACGAATTCTTTCACAAGGAGGTCTACTGGTACTAAACTGTAATATTATCTGAAAAGTTGTATGTCAAAGACGCGCTTACCAATAACGCCATCTTTATCAACAATAGGGAAAGCTAATACGGATCTGACGACATTTCCCGTGGTCTGGTCTATTTCTTTTGTGAAACGGGGATCTTTGTAGGCGTCTTCTACGTTCAGTGACTGGCCGGTTCGTGCTACTAAACCAGCTGGTGTCGTTTCAGAGGACAGGCTGCAAAGGATTTAAGTTCAGTTGAATTACTGTCCTCACCCCTTATGGTTTATATCCCAACGGTTGTTACTACCTACCATTATCACATCGGTTTGTTGCGGATTTCATGATTTGGAAGGAATTTTGTAAATTTACATTGTAAGATAATTTAAGAAAATAAAGCCATTTGATGATAAGGCCCCGGAATTAATTTTGCATTAAAGTATCGAATATTTATGCGAATACAGGCCCTTTTGGGATAAGTCCATTTTATGTTTGATCTGTAGGGAGTGTTGCACCTACCTGTTTTTATATTAGTGTATTTTTGGTTACAGTTTGTTTGTTCTTTTAAAATATCTCCTCAAATTTTAGATGGACCGAGCCCTCTCTTAAATTTCACCAAGGCTAGACCATTTTAACCGTTCAGGTGGCTACATAAGTCAGAAATAGCTTAACTTACTTAATCTTCATCTTCTTTCTGGGCATCGTGGTTCGCTCTGAGGCCCAGCCGTCGTCCCACATTTCCGCGAGGATCTGCGCGTTAATGTTGTCGCGGTCGATGATGTAGAAGCTGCTGCGCATGGAACCCACAAACGATTTGACAACCGCCTGTTCGAAATAATGATTGGTGTCAGATAATTGCACCAATTCGTACCCTGGTACAATAAAGCCCATTATAAAGCCACATGTAATATCTATGGATCATACGTCAAAAGAGCTTTCATTAGGTGAAAATGAAATTCATAAAATAACATGAACTACGAAAACAAAGAATGACTGTGAGATTTGACAACTCCCCTGTTTAAGCATAAAAAGATTACCGACTAATTTTGGCCGAATCTTTAAACCTCTCTCCTAAAAAGTTATTATTTTGCAGATGTGGCGTTATTACACCGAGGGAGCGAATTGTTATAAAAAGAAAAGTTTTTGTTTAGAAATAATAGTCCAAAGACGTATCTCTTACACTGGAATATTATTTATTACAAAATGAACAAACTACACACAAGGTGGTCGTAAATTGGTTCCACTAGAAAATAGATTAGACTTCAAATCAGACACCACTGTGTAAATATTATGTTGTTAAATTGTCAAATCTACAGGTGTAACAAACAGGTAGGTACATAAGTCATATCGAGTTCTTAGGAACTTCGAAACTGTTTTTCCGGATTTAAATCGCGCAGGCCCCGTGTGAAACCACCAATAGTCAAGCGAAGACCTGCCATCTTACCTTACGTGAGAGATGTTACAGACAAGATCGGAAGAGTCCTCAAGCGCGCATCTATCAAGACCTATTTCAAGCCCTCGAGGAAGATTTCTCAGTTCCTGAGACCCGTGAAATGTAACATCCCCTTACAGGATGCAGGAGTTTACAAGCTTGACTGTGAGTGCGGTCTCTCTTATATTGGACAAACAAAACGAAGTATTTGTACCCGCGTCAAAGAACATATAGCTGATGTCAAACACCGTCGCGTAAACAAGTCTGCAGTCTGCGAGCATGTCATCTAAACCTACACATTCAATGAAGTTTGACAAACCTCAGGTCCTTACAAAAGAAGTCCGTTATCTAACCAGGACGCTGCGAAAGGCCATTGAAATTAAAAAACATCCTAATTTCAACAGGGAAGATGGTTTCTCCGTACCATTAGTTTGGGATCCAGTATTTCCTCTAATGAAAAATCTCAAACAGACATAAGAGTGCAGTACTAATTAATATGTTTTAATTTATTCTAATTTCTATTATTAATTAATAATAAATTGAACTTAATAAAAATTCATTCAATAAAATAATTTGTAAAACTTATAATTTGTAAAACTTAATGTAGCGTAAATAGGAATGATTTCTTTGTAAAATTAAAAATAAGGTATTTAATTAATAACTATTGTAACTATAGTGAAAAAATAGGGTGGTTTGCATCAATATTAGACATAACTGGTTGAAGACTGTACCACCTCAGTCAACCATGACCATGGGACCTGTAAAGCGCCGGAAACGTCGGTTTGTTTGAAAAAACAAATATACGCGATTTAAATCCGGAAAAACAGTTTCATTTCCTACATAAGTCATATTTGCGGAATTTACCATGAAATTGAAAAACTTTGGTCAGAAATAAATTTTTAAAAGAAAAAAGCTATAGGATTTTTTAAACCAGCCTGTCGTCACGGGTTCGCCAATTAATATAATATTTATAGTCGAAACCGTTTCGTGTCGAATTAAATCTACATTTCAATAATAACTGATGATAATATGCCCATCAGTTTGCACTATGAGCACTGGATGAGGACATCTCAGGTTCGATTTCCGGTAGGAACAATTTGGGAAATGAAATTTATAAAGTGGTTCTTGTCTGGGTGTTCTGCGAAGGTGCCCCAAAGTGAATTCCGTTGCTCTAGAACATAGTTTCCCAAAGTGGTCCCTGCCGTCCCCAGTGCGCGCTGAACAGCCCTAGGGCTTTGGAAGCAATTGGGGGGCGTTGATGCTGTCCAGGGGGAGCTACCCCATTTGATATAAACTACACTACAAATATATAACTAATTTTTGTTCGCGGACGTAGAAATTTTTTTATCTTGCCTAAGTGAGCGGTGGACCAATAAGTTTGGGAACCTATGCTCTAGAACTCATAGTAAATTTTCTTTGCTTGGAATTCCCTAGTTTGAGACCAAGCAATCGCTTAGGTTGTCTCTATAAATTATAGCACATTACGTAAATTACTTACAGTACGATGGACATTTTTTATCACACGATATGCATCGTGTCTTCGACATTGTCATCTATATACATCACCTATTTTAAAATATCCAGATGAAAACTCCCACTTTTCCTTACTGAATAGGTTCTATGGCGTGGGTTGAGCAGCAGACACTGGCTTTATTTCAGTATATTTTTTTTCCAAAAAAAAGAAAAATGTATATCGTATACTATACGTGTTCTATTAATTCAGTTGCTATACAAAAAAATCATTGGTATACGTAAAGTATCTATTGAATTTCTTGAAACATTTCGAGGTAAGACTGTGTTTTTTTATATCGTCAAAAATCGTGATTTCACACCGTATACTAATCAGTGTAGGTATATCTTCAATTTTACTATATATTTTTTCCGAATTCAACACTTTCACTATTAAGCGGAATCAACCAAAGCCATTTGAGGCTGCATCGAGTCTTAATTAAAGCAATAGGACAGCAACACGACTTGTCCGTCCCGTCGCTTCATATCGTAGAAAAAAAGCAAATTTAATAACCTATTACGAAATTCAAAATCCCGTACCAGCATATCAGTGATCATAGTATCAATGGACACAAGGTTGCAGAAGTAGTTCTGCAACAGCGTCCTTAACTCAGTGTTGAGATGTGCTGTCTTCTGCAGAGTGATACGGGCTTGAGCTTGGTGTGCTGCTGCACCCGCCCAGCACGCTACGCTAACCACTGTGTACACTACGTTCTGGAATAATACCAAGAATACGTGAAAATTACCAGTTCTTCCAGTACTTCCTTAAATGATAAATGGTTGGACTCTTGAAATGCTTCCTCTAGTGGGCGTTGACGAGTCCTATGTGAGGCTTCGGGAGCAATTGGGGGCAGTTGATGCTGTCTAGGGGGTGCTACCGCATTGAATTGTCTATGTAAACTACACTACATCTTTTTCCTTGTGATTTTTCGTATTAAGTTAATTTAAACATAAACAAACATAAACGAGTATGGGAACCTCTGCTATAGTATCACCCAGGTAGTTTTCATATATTTTTGAAAACTGGCCATGTTGAAATAGCCATGGCTACAACACGCTGACTTCTGTGAAACATCTTAACAATTACTGTATCAAATGGAGTCTACAATTAGAAGCAGTAGAGCTTCTTGTGAAAGAGTTCGTCCAGGGAAGTACTTGCTACCTTACCTATTTCTGCAACCAAGCAGTAATATGAACATTACTGCGTTCCGGGTTGGAACAGTAAGGGTGCTAGTGAAATTACAGGCACATAGCACTTGTCAACTTATGTCTCAGAGTAAAGGGCGCAGTGGCAGTGCCCCTTAGATCTTTATGAATAAAGCTCTGAGTGGCACTTCTACTGTTATGGACAGGCGTGTCGCTTACCACCAGGCGCATAACGTGGTCGTCTCGTCAGTTGGTATTATAAAAAAATCGCGAATAAGCTTAATTTAAGTTATTTACTAAAGCCCAAGAACAGAATTACACAATAAATTCACTTGCAATATAATTGTATGTTGTCTACTATTACTACTACTCGTATAGGTCTATGGGCGTCGACTAATTTCACGTCTCTAAACTAAAATGAAATATTATGTCCTATTCCACTTATAACGAAGGAGATGTATCGTATTTATGTTTAATTCAAGATTTGCATCAATTGACGCCATCATAGAACGTGACATTTTAATTTAATAATCTCAGTACAGAGTACTAAAAAAACCGACCTCAAAAGTACGTGGAATTACATATAATTACCAAGTTTTATTGAAATCGGTTACCGGAAAGTGCGCAAACCCGGATTCATCCCCTAGTTCGCCACTATAGGGTACTTGACACAGGAGATAATAAAAATCGGTTCTCACTACCCAAAGTATATTGAGAGAGAAAACGCCTTGAATTAAAGAATAGCAAAATCAATTAAAATAATTGCTCATTATACTAAAATTTAGGCGCTATCTATAAAAATAAATCTTCATGCGTGAACAGCCACTCTTAGAGATGGATGATTTTCTTCAAAATTAAATGGAACAACTATGGAGGTACCCTCTTTCCAACAAAAAAAGAATCATGAAAATTGGTTCACAAATACCGGAGTTATCTCGTAACATACATACAAAAAAACATACAGGCGAATTGAGAACCTCCTCCTTTTTTGAAGTCGGTTAAAAGGTTATTTACATTATCATACGGCTCAGCACGCGTTCTATACAGCTCCAAAACAGCATAGCAGTCTCCATCAGGCTTTACAACGGGCATGCACAACGCAACCTTAGCTTCCACCCAGCGCAGACCTTCGGCGAACCGTCTATCTCTCTGTACATCATCCAGCAATAGAAACTCTTTAGTTGCTGCCACGTGCGCTGCCGCTATTTTCCCTTCAGCTAAAAATACCATAACTAGTTTTTTATCATCTGAGTTATGTCATGTTATAATTTCATAATAGTAACTGTTTTTGGGTTTACTCGTTGAAGGACCAAAATGACAGTTTAATCTTTTTCCTTGTAATTTATTGAACAATACTTGATAACATAAAAGGACAATTGTTTTCATGGACGTTTCCCGTTCGTCACTGGTTTATTGAATGCAGAGAGACCAATGCTCATTTTTCCCTACATAAATTTAAATAAGCATAGATAAATACTAACCGATTGGTATATTGACTTCATGACGATCAGGATTCTTTGTATTTTGTGACATTAAGACGATTTCATTTTTTAATTTATTCACAGTGTACACAAACACTCCTGAAATATATATCAAGGAATTTACTTCAGAAGTATAAGACAGTAAATAATAAATATAAGGAATTCTGAACTAGATCAGTGTGGCAAAGTACGACCAACGTCCAACTCCGGCCCGCCAACGGCATTCCAAGGTATATGGCCCTCGGAAATTATTTCGACAGCCTCCTCGGTGTGACACACATACGACATATATACAGGGTGGCCGGAGAAGTGATGTTCAAAAGTGAAATCTAGATCGCTCATATAGCGACAACCGAATCACCCCCATGTTCCGCGATTTTTCGTAATTTTCGAGTCATGATTTTTAAATGGATTTGTGGAAATTTTCACCCAGATCGACTCTAAAAATTATATTTTTTAAATTTTTGGGTTTCTTCGGGATTTTGTTTTGTTACTCAGTCTAGATCAAAATCAAAATAAATGTTTATTTCATAGGTAAGCATTATTACACTTGAAATCGTCACGTTGGTTAAACTCTACTGCTCATTCGTAAGGCAGATTCCCCTGAGAAGAATAAGCAAGAAACTCTAGGGGTTACTCTTTGTAAATAACATTTGTACGCTTTCAACATTTACAATATATATATTTTTTTTTTTTGCTTTCAAACGTCAGGGATGAATTAAACTTTCAAGCCTAAAATAATTAACTTCGTTTAGCGCAGCTTTTAAAGTTGCCCAAGAACTATGGAATCACATTTTTAGATTTTTAATTTTAGGTTGAAAATTCAAATCTGATTCGCTCGAACGTGAATTCTCCCACTTCAAGTGAAAATTTTCGAAGCTTTGGTTGACATTAGGAAGTTGATTATTTATAAGTCTGGTTGGAAATTTCCAAAAATTAATTAAAAAATCATAATCAGAAAACTACGAAAAATCGCGGAACATACAAATAGTGATGATTCGGATAACTCTCATTATGAGGGACCGAGATTTTACTTTTGGACGTCACTCTCCCGGCCACCCTGTATATCTTAACACGTACGAAATAACATAACACTATAAAATTTCTTGTGTGTTTCTGGCCCCTAATGAAAAAAGTTTGCCCACCCCTGTTCTAGACCTTACCTGAACTGCTTGTAACAGTTTTCAAAACCATAGCAGTCTCGTAGAACAGTGAATCCAAGTCGACAGTATCTTCTAGAAATACGTTAAACCTGTTGATGTCTAGGTACGTCCCTTCTTTTACCTCGTCTTCTTTTAATCCTAATCGGAAAGACCTGATTATGAAAATTTATTTCCAATAAAACATAATCAATAGGTGCGAGTAGGCTTTTCCACTTAGCACTGTGTATTTACAACATTTCATAGTTTACTGTTAGTCATTAACCTCTCTAAAAAACGTTTCGTCAAACTGTAGGGGAAAGGTGTACGAGATGATCCTTGGAGGTAAGATGATCATTTTCCATTATAGCGAAGCTAGTAACGTCATCTAGATATTTTGTTCGGTAAAATGTAGGCCTCAAAGTGCCCTCTCTCTCTCTCTCTCTCATCTGAGCGTTGTCCCGGTTGCGTCCTCAGCAGTGTTGCTGCGGAGCCCGGGGTCCGCAGTGTGGTCCGCGGGGTCCGCCTCAAAGTGCCCTCTCATCAGTCAATTTGTAATGGCGATGTGAGTGACGACTTTATTTTTGTAGAAAAGAACAAAAATTGAGTGAGTTTGAGCTAAGATAAAGTTGATTCAAAGCTGAGGCTACTTCCATTCTAAGCAATCAATTGCTAAAATTTTTGTGTTGAAGGCTTTGTATAATGCTCTATTTACTTTTTGAATGGCATGGTGACATTAGATAGCATACAGGTTATTTTGCCGAACAAAAAACAAAAATTAGTAAATTGGGGCAAGATGATTATGGTCTTGGCGTACGACATGATCCGTGGGGATCATCTTGTACTTTATATATTGTTAACGGACTATTTTTAATTTGTATGTTTTTCCGAGTACCGAAACTAATACGACTAACATAGTAGAAGACTGGATTTTGTTGATATGATCGATCTCGATTAATAACAAATATAATGCTTTTTCTTGTTTTAGACCAGGCTGTGTAAATATAAAAGAAAATCGAGTCGTGGTTGGTCGGAAGACTGATCTAAAGAACTAGAGGCGTAAAAAGTAGGATGCTACATAGATTGGCAAATAAATAGTTTGCAGTAGGTACGCGGTATGTCATTAATACGATGGGCTAAAGGTAAAAATAAAGGGTCTGTAGGTTCAATGAAATATTTAGGTGAAAAAAATAACTATTTTCATCAATGCGTTAAACAGGAAATCAACCTCGTAAAGTACATTAAAAATTTGGAGACGAGGATATATGGACTATCGAAACAAGATGTTTTGTCTATGGCATATCAACTTGGCATAAAAACCAATATCGCCCACCCTTAGGTACCTGTAAGATATGAAGTAATTAGGATTATTTAGATAAACTTTGGCGCGAAAGAGTACCTTGAGGGTCCTTCTGTTAGGGTTTTTCAACAACAACTTTGTTTTGTAAATCAAAATAAAACAATACATTTAGATGACAATGATTCAAATTTTTATAGTATTAAAAAAAGTAAGTTTTGGCAATTATGAATGAAAAATGATATCTGATAAATGTCCACCACAACCGCAGTTACAGATGTCGATTCTTTCATCAAAGTTTTTGATCACGTTTTGACAAAATGGTGAGTCTATTTCGTTAATTTCTTCGTGAATTTTGAGTTTTAAGGCTGCAATGGATTCGATTGGCTCCGTATAGACTCTGTCTTTAACATAACTCCATAAAAATAATCCAGCGGTGTTAAATCACATGATGAAAGTTCTTGTTGAGAAACCCTTTATCTTTTTCCCGCCTTTTGAGAGTCTTCCTCCTGGGTACGAATTACTATGGCCGATCTGGTAATCTTTAAATAAGCTTCGGACTCAGATTGGTTGGAGTAGATCCATTTGTTTAGGCGGGTATTATCGGATGGTTCTACCCTGAATTGTTTATGATTTTTGGCTCACTGCCCACTTAGGTAACACAAAAAAATTAACCACTACAAAAAATAATAAAAAACACGTATTTTTTATAATAAAAATCGGAAAAAATTATATATCATATGTAGTGTAGTTTATATAGATAATTCAAATGTTTAATTTGGCGTAGGCAGGTACCTACGCTATTATTAGCACTGAAAAGATTTTAGGATGGCTTGTTACCTTACCTTTGCGTTCAATTTGTGCATAAGGAGCTATGACTCTCTTAGTTACTTTATCTAATTTCTCTGGAGGCACCATAAAATGAGGTTGCACTCGTGTCGTGCTAATGTCCACAGCCTTTTTACTAGCATTATCGCCAGCTGAATGGCCTGGAGTCAGGTTTCCTTGTCTACTTTTACTTGATTTCACTTGCCTTGGCTCATACATGACTAAATATTTTATAAATTAAAATATCTATCAGCAGGCACAAACTAATTTTCTGAGTTTTGAAAATATTATAAGTGACAAGTTATTTGACGTTTTCGTAATTATATTTTTTTTTTCTATAAATGAGTGAGGAGATGAAAATAGATCATTTAATCATACTGAAGGTCGTATTCCAGAACTCTACTCAATGCTCAAGTCAGGATCTGAGTATGATTTCAAGCACTGAAAATACGACCTTAATGGCAGTGATTTGAGTATGATTTCGAGTGCTTTAAACCATACTCAAATACTGACTTGAGCAATGAGTTGTATTGCATTCCAGACTTGAGCATTGGACTGGAATGCGACCCTAATGGCAAGGACTTGAGTATGATTTCTAGTGCTTTAAATCATACTCAAGTCTTGACTTGAGCATTGAATAGAGTTCTAGAATACGACCCTTTGTATTTTTTAGGCAAAAGCTTATCATCGTGGGGTGGATAAGCTTCTGTCTATTATTTATAGTAAAAAAATATTTGACAAATAGAATCGAATGTGAAACTTTCGTGTGAAACTTTTACCCATGCATTCATCTAGAGCTCAGGATAAATCGTTTTCGATTCAGGCAGCTCGTTTATGGAACAACCTGCCGGAAGCGATAAGGTGAATAAACATTACTTATCACTTAGTAATTTCAGTTTAGTAGAGTAAGTCAAGTATTCGTCATCCAAATTAAAATAATGTATATATGTGTATATATAATATGTATCACAAGAATATTCTATATCGCACCCTTAGTAATATAAGGGCACAATCCAAAAAAAGTAGATTTTTGGGAAATCGCGTGTTAAGATTCTGGATTCCTACATTACACCTATTTTTTCAAATAATATGCTTATTATTTAAGTTATAAATATGAAATTTGGCAGATTTGTTCTTTGATAAATGTATTATAAAGAGCAATAATAAAAAAAATAATATAAATAAATTCCATAAGTTTCAAGCAAGTTAAAAAAACACTTTCAAGTCAGACCCATATAGTACAAAAAATATAACAGAAATATGGAGCTATATAAGTTTGATCCCATTTATTATTTAAGTCCCTATCAATTCCCAAATTTCCCAAAAATCTACTTTTTTTGGATTGTGCCCTTATATTACTAAGGGTGCGATATGTTGTATGTGTATATTGTTATATATTTGGTATGTAGTAATGAGTATGTACCAATGTTGTTATAATACATACGTAGTACGGTTTTGTGAAGTTTGTTTAAGAAAGTATTCAGTTCAATTTGTACATCGTTTAGCTGCTTTGTGCCCTTCACATAAAACTTCGCAATAATTTGTTGTAGGTTGCCTGGAAGATATCGCTGTCTAGCGATAAGGCCGCCGAGTGTACCTTTAACTACGTTTTATCTTTTTTGTATTGTCACAGTTTATTATTTTGTGTGCAATAAATCTTATTCTGTTCAATTCTATGTGTCCATGCATTATGAATGAGTGGGAAGGACGTCGCGCTTTTCGCTTCCGCTGGGATCGCCGACGCGAAACGTACAAAACGTTATTCTCTCTTAGTATTAGCACACCCCGGACACTCCATACAACGGTCGAAATTTATTTACCTACTACTACTACTACTACTACATACAGCAAGGCGCTATCTGCACACGCGCAAATGTGTGCGTGAAGTGGCAGGGTTATCCATCACTTCTCGTACTGTTACATCACGTGGTCAGAGCGACACCATAGCGAAAATACTTACGCGAATCTATTATCTATAATTCTATTAATAGAATCCTAATAATTACACTAGTTCATTAGGTAATATTATATTTTTCATTAATTCACTAACTAGATAAATATAAATAATATTGAAGATTTATTTAAAAAATGTATTAAAAGCACTTAAAACGTTATATTTTGGAAAGGTACTTTTAAATAAGGTAACCAAGGTATTTGAAATTGCGAGTCCAAGTTTATCATTACCTAGTTAATAAGTAGGTATTTATATTCACTACGTAATATTTATCGGCAATACAAATTAAAAATTCGATAATCCTTCTCTATAGCACGAAGTTATGGCGTTTCATTATATTGAATAATAAATGTGTATTATATATTACTCTGCACTAAATAAATGATTGAGTTTAAATGAAAACTTCGTTTCTTCTCTCAGAAAATGAAAGAAACTCTTCTCTTTATCCTGTTCAGATGATAAACAGCCGAACACAGCACAATTCACGACCATTATAATCAGTAACGTACAATGATGTTATATATTAACGTTCAAGTTCCGTAATGAATAAATGAAAACTATATTCAAATATCAAAGCCGTCTTAGCACGAAAACGGCTCGCAGACAGCCTTGTTGCCGTTCAGTCAATGTGACCGTCAATGTGCGGCGGGGCATGGTGTGGTATCTAAAGCTAGGGAGGGGCGGTGAGTGTCCATTCTCTTTACTTTTTATTCTCTGGTATTAGTACATAGAAGAAATAAGGGCTTCAGCAACTTTGTTATTATGTAGTAACTATTAAGTAATCTGTGGTCAGGGCTCAAATATTACAAGGCTACAATATAACAAAGTATTTTTACCTTACCCATTTTTTCCTGTACAGGTACTGTTAAGTAGTATTCGTCCAGTTACTGTATAACAATATAAACACATTATTTTGAGAAAATAAATATATTTTTATAATTATTTATAGTGCCTCATAAAAATTAAAACTGTTACACAAAACATACGCAACTTCATTTAATTCGTTGTACATACATTATTATTTACACAATTTATTTAATACAAAAAACAAATTTAAAAGCTGAAAAGGCAAAAAATAATTTAAACCAAATTCATTAAATACATATAAGTTTTCTATGAACAAAAGCGTTTTCTTTGATTTAAATGTTAGTTTTGTTCCAGATTGTACAAAACCAGGACATGTCCTTTTGAGCACTGCTTTGTAAGAACGTGCCAAGTATCTCCTCATGTATTTTGTAATGATTAATGGTAATGAGCAATTTTACGAGCAAAAAGCAGAAAATATTAATTAGGTCTTCTTAATCTATAACACCTAGTTATTTTCAATATTATTATTATTATGTTGTGTAATATAATATACTAATATAATATAATAATACATAATAATTATCATAAACAACAACTTTCATTCCATGACTTTTAATAATTTATCAGATTTGAATTTCAATAAATAGATTTAAATAGATCGCTCTAAACGGTAATAACTCTGTGCAGGATGGGGGTGGCAGTGGTGGTGGTAAAATAAGCAAGCTGAAGTGGCACCGGGCTGGCCATATCTGTCGAAGCATCGATAGGGGAAACAGTTTGGCAAACCTAGTGTAGGGCGTCCTTTGGCTACATGGAGTGATGATCTGCGATAGGCTGCTAGCAGCATGCGACAAACTGAGGACCGGGCGAAAGACTCACATCGGGAGAGGCAAATGTCCAGCAGTGGACTGCGATAGGCTGATGATGACATGGGCAGGAATATTTGCCCCAGTTAATGTCCTTAACCTTATGGTACAGGGAATTCCCTAAATTGCGACTAGGTACGTAATTGTGACCAAGAGAGTCTTGCATATTCCGTTATTAATAACGTAAAATAAGTTTTATCTTTTTCTCATAACAGTCACAATAGCCCTAACATAATGGGCCAAAATATCAGATATTTTAAGGGAGATGAAGACTAAAGATGTTGACGATTCAATTTGGTATTATGTAAGCTGAATTCATGGCCAAGTTATGGGTTTTCTTCCTTTTTTAAGCGGAGGACTACTGATTGCGGGGGTCACCTGAAATTAAAAAACAAATTGTGTATTATATTCCACCACTTCAAATTGATAATTTGCAAATTTATTTAATTCTACGAAATTCACTAATATTGGTTTATGTTCCAAAGCTCCACAATTAGATTATGAACACGAGAACAAAGTGTCAATGAACAATTTCTATACATAGGGAAATTATGTTAAATTAAAACTGCTTATTAATCTTGTACATAGGCAAAATTATAATTAGAAGGTTTTGTTTTGCTTTTCAAATTAATAAAATGTTACATATATTTTATATGTATTATGGGAACGAGAGTAGACCCCCAGATTTGAACCATCAACCTCTTCATTCCCAAGCAACCATTATCCAACTAGGTTACCACCCCTATAATCTATAAGAAAAATATTTATTACCTGAACCTTTGCCCAGCAAAGGGAAAGAATAGGTTTATGGATAATAGTCTTTTAGTTGTCTTTCTTGAAGACAGAGTAAAATGCCATTTCCAAGGTCGCCTGTTCTTTTTAAATTTTAATTCCCGCATTGCAATCCTTGTCGGAGATTATCACTTCTTCTAATTATTGGTCACACAAGAAACTTTCTTATCAACAGGTTTAACAAAATTTCTAACCTCCCCTTCCCTATTTCCCAAAATTATATGAATCCGTTGTTTGAAACTGACTTTAAATGTGTAACGGTCCGCCCAACAGTCTATCTTAGTTTTGGAATCATGAAAGATACCCCTGGAGCAAACCAAGTCTTCAACCATATAGTTGAGAGAGAATGGCATGACTGGACTGTTTTTACCGACGCTTCAAAATTTGCCTCCAAGACATTATTAAGCTACCGTTTCATTCCAAAGACAATTTGTCTATCACCCTCCCAATTATGGAAGCTCTGTACCAGCCAGGTAACTCTGGGCTGGATTCCCAGTCACAAAGGAATCAGTGGCAACGAAGCAGTAGACGCCTTTGCAAAAGATGCGACAAGAATTAGCGTATTCCAGAGATCTGCTCGCCATGACCAAACCCCAAATGCTAGCCTCCTGGTCGGAACTACGGAAGGAATCACGACAAACTGTTGGTAGATACTATGGTAACCTCCAACCAAATTTACCCACTAAACCTGGTTTTTTAAACGTTGAGATTTGTCTAAAAACATCACTTCCACCATTATACGTCTGCGCTTAGGCCATGTTTGCACCCCTGTATTTTTGCGTAAAATCAGAGTCCGAGATCACTCTCTGCACGAGTGCGGCCTAGAAGACGGTACCTTGGAACACATTTTTTTCAATTGCCCTAATATTGCAGTTCCACTTTATAACTTACTTCCTCTAAAACTCCCCTGCCCCAGTAACATAAACAACCTCTTAACAGTGTTTTCCCCCTATATTGTTACTCTATGTAAAATTATCCACTTAAATAATATATATTTATAAATACATGTTACATGTTTGCGCTGTCTTTTGTTTTAGATTCTCAACTGAGTACCCCCATGGACCAACTCATCAACACCGGTTAATGTCAAAATAGGAGCACTGAGCTCCTATTGTGACATTATTTATTTAGTTTTTTTCTTTCGACCATGATGTTGGCAAAATCATCATTTCTCCTAATGATGGAACCATATAAATAAAAAGTGAAGTGAAATAGTCATGTAGTTGTTGTCAACAGTTTTATCGATGGATTGTAAAAGGTAAACTTTTACCAAAAATGTCTGAATTGTGGCTGTTACGTTTTAATGGTTACTAATTGCATTATTGTATCTTTATTCTTATTTTGACAGTTAGCCTATTAGTTTTGAAATCAATTTTCAACAGGCGGATTAGATTATGTATATTAAATCAAAATTTAAAAAGATATGAAAAACATTCTCTTATTTGTATTTTTAACAGAAAAAGTTCTAAATTTAGTATATGTGTGTATAAATTTTCTAAATTGACAATTGCAATGAACCTATACCCAGCAATTGGACAAATAAAGGGCTGGTGATGATTCATATGAAACAAGTTCGGCTATTTATTTCATAAGTGTGGCCATCATTCCGTCGATAGACAATGTAATATTTATTTATCGATGTAATCACTAGCTGAATGCAAACAGGCAATATTTTTGCATAATGAATCGTCATTTTACTCCATCTTCAAAAAAGACAGACTATAGTAAGAATAAACAATGTTAGAGTAGAGGAAGTGAAAAACGGTATGTTAGGCATGCAGTGGGTGGTGGACCATAGTCAGACCAGTGGGATATGGCAGTTATGGTATGTCTAACCTACTAACTAATATGTAATTAAGACTGTTCAATTATAATACAGGTACTTACTGCGTCAATAGACATTTTTCTTTTAGTACCATTTACACCATTATTCTTCTCTGATACCTTGTCTAACCTTATTCTTTTCATATGTCCTGATAACAAGTCGGGAGGGGGCTTTACTCTATCGTGGTTGGAGTGAAACTTTCTATTTTGACTAACATCTATTGTGTTGAGCTTCGGAATACGTTCCGGGCTCATACGGCGAGTTTTATTCAGTACTTTCCCTCGTCCGCTATCTTTGTACTTTCTTTGCCCGTACGGCACGCAGAATCTATGAAACAATTCTAATAAGTCGTCCCTAGCCATCCCCTCGATCTCAGGAACACGCAAATGCCTCTAAAACAAATGTAAATAAAGTAACTTATGCAATATAAACAAAAAAAACATTTCAGTCAAGTGCTGCGCTATAAATACCTGCTGTATTATGTATACAAGTTGTTCATTTGTTAGCAGTTCAGGGTGCAGTAACATATCACAAGGTATTTCCATGTTAGTTCTTTTAATTATTTAACACATAAACTAGGAGTAATATTACAACGAAAGTTTTTATTTTGGAGAGACCACCCAAGACCACCCGCACAATAACCGCATGAAATATATTTTTTTAATTTATTGAACATTGGCTACGAGGACATCAGCTTAAAACTACAACAAAACAAATAAATGAGTAAAAACTAAACTTAAACACTATAACGTGATAATTAATAATACAAAAGAAAGTATTTACAACGGACCAAAGGTATTGATTAAAAAAGCAAAAATAATATTATACAAAGTGAAATTCTTTGAAAGTCCCTGTACAGTATTTGGTAAACTATCTGAATTTACAATATCTTTACTTTACTTTACTTATACAACAAGCGCTGTAGATTAAAAAATGGACAACTGAAAAATAGGTGATTGAGATAACAGTGTTCGAATGTTCAGTATTTACAAAGTGAATTATTAGGTGATATGGCGATTTTAATCTAAAAAGATGTGAAGGAAATTTACAACGACCTATCCTTAATAAATAAGTTGTAATAAAGTTTCTACTCATAAAAGTAGAAGCTTTTTCAAACCAAGAAACGAAACAAATAAATTCGTTTGTAAATTTTGATTATAGCGCTACGTTCAAGGTTTAGCCTAAACCTTACTCAGTTTACTTCTTAAAGGACGGAAAAAAAAATAAAGGAAAAGGTTTAACCTTGATAAAATCCTTAGAGGATGGAAAAAAATAATAAAATCTCTGTCATTTTGTAGAAATATTGGCGTTTGTCTTAAAATAAAACGCAATCTTAGCTGACAGCTGTCAAAAATAGAGCTGCCCGAATAGTTTGTTCTCTAATCCATTAATCAGATAAATGGATACGAATGATCGATTAGACATATTGCTTAAATAAATATTTCCTTACCTACTCCTCAATTTTATTTGACTACTGACATACTCTGGCTGACTATGAAGTTTCTATTTCACAGCTTTTAAAAAATCACACTAATAAGTCAGTTTTTTCAACGGTCTTACAAAATGCAACTATGTTTGAACCTATATTCTTTAATGTTCCAGTCTCGACATTATGGATGCAAAAGTTGTCTTCCGGGTAACCTCTTCACTTATAAACTATCATTGCAATAAGTCCAAACACGAAAATCAGGATTTAAGCCTGATTATTCTAATTCATACCACTAAACTTAGGTACACATCTCTGATAAAAATTTATTCGATCAAGCAAGGTTAAATATTATAAAAATTTTGCTTTAATTTCGTACAAATTTTAATAAATAAAAAGAATAGCAATAAACAGTATTTTTTTAATCGAGTTCTTAGGTTTTCGCGATTGTTATTCGTAGGAAATGAAACTATTTTTCCGGATTTAAATCGCGTATATTTGTTTTTTCAAAAAAGTGTTTTTTTCTTAACAACTGCAAATGATTTAATGAGTGCTCAGAAATTGACAGATTTTTAATCCAGTTTGTTAAGGTGTGCACATTAACTAACCGCTTCTTCTTTTAGAATTATAGCTATGAAATAATCGGTTTGAATTATTTCAACGTTTTCTCGTTATGCAACAATAATTTGAGTTTGCGGACCATAGTCTCAACTCTACATAAGTCAATTGGTTCGTCGTCAACTAGTCAGTACTCACTGTCAGTACTCGTCAGTCTTTTAGTTTGTTCGAGTTGTTCGGCTGTCATTCGCGTAGGCTTCGATTGTTTGCTTCTTTTCTATCTCCTAACATTTATTTCGACTCTTGAAGCCGATTTTATTCTACACGTATTAATTTATTACCAATTTCCACATTGGACCACCTTCACTCAATGCTTCAATCTGTGCAGTGTTAGTGCTAATTTTATTTTCGTGTAGTTTTAAAAAAATATTTAAAAATTTTTAAAAATATGAAGTAAATAAAAAATACTGCTTTTAAATAAGTTGTGGTTAATAAAAGTTGAGGTCGCAAATGGTAGCTGCGGGAGTTTCGATGAGAAAACTTGATGGGGAGTGTTTTTATGATGTTTATATTGAGTGCTTTTGCGATCGGCATCGTCGCTGGTCTTCAGAATGTTACGGAGCCCACGGAAGGCAATGACGTCACTGAAGCTGTAAAGTCGACAGACATGGGTCTACTGGTGCCAACAAAGGCTTCGGACCCGCGCGTGCTAGACCATTTGAATGTGACTATACAGGATCACACTTCTATGTGGGATATGTATCTTCACCAATGCTCCTCGTGGAAGCCGATTAACCATATATTTTTCCAAGTGACGAATGCCTGTTTTCTGCTCGCGTTTTTGGCGCCACACACTCCCTCTGGTCTGATATGGTTAAGAGTATGTCTGGTGTTAGGTTGTGCATTTTCTGGTTTCTACGCTTGGGTGGAGTGCAATTTGGATGCGGTGATATGGGACTGTGCGTTTTTAGTGATAAACTTTGTGTATTTAGCTATGCACTTCTATTTGCTGCGGCCGATCAAGTTTCATAAAGAAATTGAGGAGGTAAGTATATCTTTAATAAGCTTACTATACACTTGTATATGAAATAATGTTAATAATAATGCAAATTACTCTTAATATGGTCACATTAATTAAATACTGGGATTCACTTGCAATGCAGATTCCTCTGGGAATAATAAGTGAGAAACTCCATGTGGGGTGTTCTATGTAAATAAATAGACATTTAATTTTGTACACATTTGTCACTCACTGTATTTATTTCAAATATCATAGACAAAAACAATTTGAAAGAACGAAATGGGCCGCTACCTTGGATTTTCGTCATCCAAGTACACAGAAGTTGTAAATAAGCTTCAGTAGAAAGTTTTTGTTTATTCTATATATTTATGCGTTTCCCACTAAAATAAATATGTGCTTTTGTGAAGACGATTGTCAGTTTATTTTTATTACTTATGTATATCACTATTTTTCATGACAAAATTACTAACCTTATAATTGTTAATACAAAAACTAAACACTAAGAAATATTCCTTCAATCTGGCTGGATTCGAACTGGTGCCTTCAACATACTGTACCTGACGCTCTACCAACCCAACTGAGCTACGGAACAAACTAGCACACCTTACGAATTTTTGTGTGCTTGTTGCAGATGTTTCTGATTTTTAAATGCCATCTGTGAGAAATTTGTGAAAGTTTTTCTTCACTCAGCCAGGTTTTCAATAAACCTAATATTACAATTACTATTCTTCTTAACATAAATTACATTTGCATGATATGCTGTGATACAAGTGTAAGAATGTTCATTTCTTTAAATGTATTCTACTCTACACTTCTAGAATTGTAGAAGTAGAAAGCGTACATCCCGGGTGCTTGATGTTTTTTAAATATATTACCCTGTATCAACATTATGTGAAGACATTTGCCAAGATTTATACTGTTGTAGTAAAACAAAAATTGAGGCATATTTTAGCTGCAAAAAGTATTAAAGAACTGTTGAATGTGTGTATAAGCTTAAAGAATTTTATTTACCTGCAACAACTGTGATACTTACTTGTGACCCTTAATATTTTAACTTGGGCCACCAAAATTGTCCTCTTACATTTTATACAGCAATTTATTATTGTTAGGTGCCCAGTGCCTATTCTTTCTACAAATACGTGCTCTGCTGAGCTACAATACTGCCTCCAAATTAAACATCCTTCAAAGAGTCCAAAACAACATACTTCGAACTATCAGTGGTACCACATGGTACACCAGGAACACTGAAATCCACGAATACCTGGAGATTCCGACAATTGTAGAAGTGATGGATGTATATAGACATAAACAGGGATCTGTTCAATACTCATCCAAATCCTCTCGCTAAAGCACTGGTTGATGGTGGCAACATTAAGAGACTAAAACAACAGCATGTGTTCGACGACTAGGAGTGGCTGAACAAGTGGCTTTCTCGCTCTCAAACGCCAAAAATCACTCAAACAAGTAAAGTCTGGCGACTGATTATAAATAATAATACTTAATTAAGAAAAAAAATTAAAAACTAAATGGGTGTTGAAAAGGCTGGCAGTTACATTATCCAACACCTATTAGCCTAGTCATGCAAAATGGGTGTGCAGCATTTTGGGCATGCATTTTGTTTTCCAGTTATACTCATGTCCCAAGCCATTCTGTGTAAGTAGTCATAGTAGTTAACATAATGTTATTACTATTCTTTATTTCTTGAATAAAGACACGAAAATAATTAAATATGAATGTATTCTTATTCAAAATACACTATGAAAAATGTGTAAAAAAAATTAGTACAAAAAATTAATTGTATAAAAGTAAACCTCAACATTAAAACAATTCAATACCTACTTAATTCTTGAACTGAAGGTCAGCTAAATCGTAATATTGAACAAAGGCAATTTTAATTATTGCAATCGTAATTGGATTTTAAAGATATTATTTCATTGAGGTGCGTAAATGAGGCATATCAATACAGTACCTATAACTGTAGGCACACATGACTAAAAATAACAGGAGTTCTGTATTTTGTTTTTGCGCCAAAAACAAAAACATGAAAGTTATTTCAAAGATATTATTGATAAATTATTGACCTTATTTGCAACTAAAACCTTTTACGAATTTTGTTTTGTGGATTACATCTATGAAAGAAACGACAAAGTTAATTTTGTTGTTTAAAAAAAATTACCATTTTCCCGCCGAAATTCCGGCGCGAAATATCATTAATTTTCCACCAATCAGTAGGTCACTATTTTGTCATAGAGGTCATTTCTATGATTGAAACATTGATTGGAGCAAATAGAAAGCGTCGAATTTACGCAAAATTGCAGTACATATGACGCTAGGTTTAGTCAAGAAATGTTACGCATAATAACAGTGTCAGATGGTGAGACATATCACCTACTTAAACATGTAGTGTTATCATTGCCTAATTTATCCACAACTTTATATTTGCACTTTACCTGTTAAACAAACAAATTACTTGTTACCTACTAAAACGTAATAAAAATTAAAATATAATTATTTATTATCTCGTTGCTTTAGATTTTGCGTTGGCTTTGATACGTGTGAGGTAGACGTGGAGTAATTAACTGAATAATGCTGAAACATTATTCAGCTTTTAGAAATAAAATATAGGCTCTTAATGTAAAATAAGCTCATATTTCCGCGACTTGTTTGTTAAGGAACACGGGAGAGACAATTTAGAGCAATTGAGGGGCGTTGACGATGTCCAGACGGCGCTACCGCTTTTGAAAAAAATACCTGATTTATTTATATAAAATACACTACAAATATATATTTTGTTAAGTTAAATATAAAATTTTTAAGTTAATGTAAAAAATACGTGTTTTCAATAATTTTTTGTGGTGGCGGGCGTTGACATTTTTTATCTTGCCTAGTGAGCGCTCGAGCGGTGAGCCAATATGTTTGGGAACCTGTGATCTTGTACAGCGTTTTCCATTTGGTGGATCGCGACCCGATACCGGACCTTCAGAATAAAATACCGGGTCGCAACATTCCTTGTAGAAGTGGAACCAGACCACAGGACAAAACTTTCGTCATTTTTCGCGAACTTGGATTCTTCAGTAAAAAATAAGCAGCAGCTCCATACTTCGCACTAAATAGGCGATACTGAAATAATATTAGTAAAACATTCTTGGTAACAATAAATGTTTATTATTTTACTTAATGTAACCAGGTTGGGCTTAAAAGTATTGAGTGGGTCACGAAGAAGCGGAATGAAAATTACCTGGCCATGGCAGAACAATGTTTGGGAAACACTGGTCTAGTATATTAAACATTTTATTAACCTTGACAAAACTGATTTCTTAAATCCACGACTACACGCTATAATTATAAAAAAATCTTATTCATTTTAGATCTTTTAAATAATATTTTTAACGCATGTTCGTTAAATAGACAATATTTTGTTATATATTTGACTGGGCACAGTGAAATTTTACAAAGCATACATTCCACAAAAAAAATGGTTATTGACTGACGAATTAAATAAATCAGTTAAGATAACAGAAATTAAAGAGAATAAGATTTTTTTTTATTAAATGTTTGCACATATCAACTTAGGAAGACGATGAAATATAATTATAACTTTTTATCAATAAAAAAAACCGTTTTTGTCAACAAAAGACCTCAAACGTTTGTTGAATTACATCTATTTACCAAGTTTTATTGAAATCAGTTAACGGAAAGTGGGTGAAATCCAATTAACGAGATACATCCCCTTTAGAGGTGGAATATTTTCTGAAAAAATTGAATGGGACTGTAGTGTATGCACATAATGTACCATAGACATTAGACAATATAAGTTACACTGCGGCGGCCGACCGTTCCTGCATTACGACACTAGACAGTGGTGCGAGCGAACGTGTCCCACGTGTACGTGAAGTAAACACATGTTGTTTTATTGAGCTATCCATGTATTATGTAGCGTAGTAGTAGTAACGCCACAATGACTACTGAGGTATCATTCTCTTTCCAACAAAAAAATACAATCTAATTAAGAACTTTTTCCTTTATAGAAATCTGATAAAAATAATATTGAAATTGAAAAGATATCATTACAATGTAAATTGAATAGATATTTATTATAACAACTAGATAATAAAGAAGCTTGTCAAAGCCACAAGCTTTCTTACCTATTTACTGTTATAAAATACAGATTATGTGAATAAATGTAATAGATATAATTATTCACAAGACATAGAACAAGCTAAATGAGTTTAATGTGTTGTTATTTAACAATCCTTTTGAAAATTACCACTCTATAAAATGACTTGTTACACATTGGTAAAGAAACTATTTTTTTGTTACCATGGAACCTATAAAGGACCCGAAATGTTTATTTCGAAGAACTAAGTTACGATTTCGTTTAACTAAGGTAAACGATTCTTTTGTGGGGAACTGTATACGTTTTTACAATAAATTCCGGAAAATATATTAATTAAGATTATCATTTCCTAAGTTTAAAACTTACATTAAAAAAGTCATATTACAAAATTGAAGAGTATGTTTTAGATAAAGAAGTATGGAAAGACAACAAAAGTCTAGATTTCACACAATTATGATTCAAAGTGTATTCCGTAGCATTTAAGTTTATTTGAAAGGAGCAATTCCTAGAGTTTCTTGCTCGTTCTTCTCAGGGAGGTCAGCGTAGTGATCGAGCAGTAGCCTTAGAATAATAACGCATAGAAACCTAGCCCGCACACGCTAAGTGAGGCAAATTGAAGCGCGCCCAATGGGCCTACACGAGCGGGCGGGCCTTCAGTGCTCAAGGTCAACTTGCACCGCGAACAGCTTAAGAATTTTAGCTAAAAATGACGAAATGTGCGGTAAATGAGTGTAAAAATACGTCAGACATACATAAAATAGATACTAACATCACATTCCACAAGGAAGTAACGCGTTTCAACTTGTATTTTTAATAAATATTCACTAAAACCGAAAATTAACCTACTACTAAAACTAGCCCACATGAATTTGATTTTTGCCTCACTTGTGACAGTTCGTTTGATATG